TCCTTACGATACGACTTCCTCCACAATCCCTCCATGCACGACTACGTTTACCTCGAGCTCTACTACCTCGCCTACGCCCCGGCCTCTGTTTGGATTTGTCGTCAAGCTCAATGGGGAGCAGGTACCATTTCTCATTCCCCGCCCATCGTTGCCTTTTCGACTACCTGAGGCTAAGCCTTAATTCAATAATTCATCTCTCGGTTTCATCCCCCGCTATTTCGGCGTCGCGAGGAAAAACCTTAGCTTTCGCTTCTTATGTGCCACCTTGCATCTTTCTCCATTTCTCATTCTTTCTCTTCTCGGCGCTATCCCTTTTCTTCCTTCCGCAGCTTTTGGTTCAGACCCGCAATTTTCGCCCCTCTGACTCGCCTTCTATTGTTCCTTTGCCCGACATGGAAAACACCAACGTTCCGAACGACAACGCCCAGAATCCTTCAGTCTCCAACTCAAGCACCCACCGATGATTGCCCTTTGACCCCGGTACAGATGGAGATTTCCAGCTTGTTGGCCCTCCCACTTGGACCTGATGGCGCACCCATTGTGGCTGATTTGGCCCCAGGGTCCACCACCTACATTGACATGCACGCAATGGATCCGGCCCTCCTCCCAGGTCTTCCTCGGGTCGAAAACCAATACAACGAGGACTACACCGAATACGCCAATCAAGTCCACAACCGCGCTCACGGATCTTTTCACGTTGCCAACCCACATGAGGAATGGGCCTGTCGACAGTGCGGTCCTTCCCGTCACTGGTTTTATCGATCTTGGTTCCACTACAAGACTATTCGCTGGGACCACGCTGACGTTCCTTATTTCAAATCCACACCAGCTTATTTTCTTGACGCCCACCCCTATTCCAACTGGGCCAATCAACATCTTCGTGTGTGGGGAACCCGGGGCTGGCAGTTGGCCTTGCCAGCAGCTCAAAGCCTTCCCATTTGGGAGGCTTGTGAGAACTATGAAAATGCCCTTCAAATTGAGCGGCAACGGTTGGCCGCAGAAAACTACCCTATTGCGCCGGACTCCACTCCGGCAGTTCATCCAAGAGGACGCAAACGTCAGTACCCGTACCCGATTCGGGATCTATGTCTTTGACTTCCTCCTCTACAGTTTCCCAGAATACATTGGCTCCTCCATTCCCACCTTCGGCTGGAACCCATAATTGACCACTACGGGAGCTCCAACAAGTTCTTCGGGTCGAGGCCATACGCGCTTCCCTTGTACATTAGAGTTCACATTTCCCGCGGAAAACATTCCTGCTAGTTCCCTTTTCTTCCGGTTTCACTTTTCCACTTTTGGCACTTGATACATAATTTACTCATCCTTTTTTCTCTGTCCGCAGCCATTGGCTCCAACACCCGTGTTCGTCCGTCTTTTCCTACTACCAAGATGATCCCGTCCCTTGGACTTCGTGCTCCTGAACCTTTGACCCAGTTGGTACCCACGACCTGGCGAGACATCCGTCAACCTTTTGATTCCCTGGACCAAGTCCCCAATCTCTCTACCATTCGGTTTGAACTGGACATTAGCCTGCTCGTTTACCAACCCCTCAACTACATCACCGTGACCCTGGACACCCACCAACTTGAAACCAAGGAGTACACGGTCGATGATCTCAAAGATGTGATCTACTCCCGCTTGGGACAGCAACGCACAGCATTCTGGATGGCCCTGCCGTCAACCGGCGACTCTCGTGTCTGGGAAGCCCCGCATACCTGTACACTGGAAGACCTCGTGCTCTACTACGTCAACTCCCGTCGGATTCGTCCTCTTGGTATTGCCAATGAGTATCCCCGCGACTCTACTCCTTTTCCCTATCGACCTCTACACACTGTTGACCCCCGCCTACGGCTCGGCGCTTAAAACTTGCCTCCCTTCGGGGAGGCGTGTGTGTGTGTGTGTGCCCCTTGTAGTCACAGGGATCCCATTGGATAATTGTTGTTCTTTCTTTTCAGCAGGGGGGCTGGTTGTTCATGCAAGTACCAGCCCAACGAAGAGGCTTGCATTGAACACTGATATCGGTGGGGACGCTCACCGACGTACCTGCGAATTTTCCGTGTGGCATGAGGCTAAGCCTAGAACCTCACCAACATGATTCTTCTTGTTGCTGCAGTCATGCACGGAACGCCGTCACTTCGACCTGATCGCCGACCTCGTCGTTACGTTTTGGGACACCTTTCCTCTTGAAGACCTCCAGGATACAGTGGTTCGCACGTGTATTCTTAGGAAATGGAACCCTAGGCCGGCGTGTGGCGCCGCTTTCAGTTCAGTACACCCTATCCTAAGTGTGTGTTTGTGTGTGTACTTCTTGGAGTCACGCGAATTGTTGCTTTTTGATTTTCATTTTACAGCAGCAGGGGGCGCGACGGTCGATTTCCTGGCCACGCCAACGAAGCTATGGAGATCGACTGGATGGAAGTTTGGACGCAACCTTTCTGTACCTGCCTTTGCGTCAACACTCCACTCTCCACCGCTGCTGTTTGCTGCAATGGTTGTTCTCGTGATAGACCCCTAAACCTTTCTGGGCCTTCAGCTGACCTTCACGTCACCCTGTTGTCGCCGCTCGCTTTCGTGTTTAAAGGTTTTTGGAGGCCTCGGACTTCAATGTACTACCTGGTTTACTTAGGCTGGCGAGGGGCAAACCGCGCCAAATCCGTACGCATGTTAATAAGTGTGTCTGGCCTTCGAGTCAGCCCAGGGTGACCCCGACGAGTGGCCCCTGTGGACCCGTTGAACGGGGGTTTTGTCGCTGTTCCTCCTGCCTGGGAACGTAGGTGTCCGAAGCGGACAGCAGGAGGCTTAAGCCAAAGTTATTTGTCAAGACTTGACGGATTGTTGAATTCCAAGCTGGCCACCTCCGGGCACGCCTTTAGGTGACCCTAGCGGTCTGGGCAGCCAGCCATTTTGACACGGCGCCGGTCCCCCTTTCTCCCCTTACCCTTCCCTCCTCCTTCTCTGCCTTTTTTGGTGCGTTCCTGAAGGTAACACTCAAGTACACCCCTCTCCGTGGTGTGTCCCTGGACGCTTGCCCGTAGCTGGGAACACCTGCTCACTTCCTTTTCTTTGATAGCTGGGAACCCTCTCCTCCTTTCTTGGTGTGTCCTTGGACGCTTGTGTCGTAGCTGGGAACACCGTCGTCTTCTCCTTCTTCTTTCTGTACTTACATTCAATCGAGGTCTTGGCAATAGGTTCCTGATGAGGTTTGGCTTTCATCGGTTTCTGTCCCCTTCATTTGGTTCCCCCCTTTTTTCATCGTGTTTCCCCTTCACACACCTTCTTTCTTGTCTTTTCTTTCATGTCTTCCCTTGCTTCATGTCCCGTCGTCTCATCTCTTTCCTTCGTTTGCGCACACGGCTCGGCCCTTAGTATGTACACGCACAACCTACTTTCAACTCAGGTTTCAGGTTGCCCAGGTCTTTACAATGAGGTGGGTTGTCATCGCTTGTCCCTGTGCACTTGGTCCCTTTTCATTGCAACCACACACACACACACACCTTTGTCCCGTCTTGTCTCCTTTTCATGTCTTCGTTCTTTTGTCGTACTGCGCGCACACTAACACATTTGCCCTGACCTTAGTGCTTCTCGCCTCCCCTCAGGGGGGGCGTGTGTGTGTAACCCTTGGACTCACAGGGATCCTTTCGGACTGTTTCTTTTGTTTTTTACCTCACTATGGCAGGGGCCACACACCTGCCACTGCCGCTGTGGCCCATGAAGACCGGCAGTGGCAGGCGCCAAAACGTACCTGCCGCGGTGGCCCTGGACGGCAAACCCCTTCAGTGGGGGCCGTAGCTGGGCACTGCAGTGACAGTCCCTGGGCGTCTGCGCAGCTGGGATGTCACTTTGAACGCATTACGGACAGTCCATGGGCGCCGCCGTGCACAGCTTGGATGTCTCTTCATCTTCCTTTTCTTTCCCTGTTCCTTTTGGGACGGGTCTTGCTTAATTTGCTTAATTTGGTTTAACTTAGTACACTCTGTTTTGAATGTGAATGTCATGCATGTGCGTGGCAAGCTGCACTTGTGTCAAACGTTTTTCTTGAATGTGTGAAACTTTTGGTGTTGTCTTGTTTACTAACCTACTTGCGATGGCCTCCTATCTAGTTGCGACGGCCTCGAACCTAGTTGGGATGGCCCCCTACCTTTGCGCGATGGCCTACTACCTTTTGATGGCCTCCAACCTACTTGCGCTGGCCTTCAATCTAGCTTGCAACCTGTGGACCTGTTTTGCAATTTTGCATTTTTGTCTACTCACGATGGCCTCCCACCTAGTTGCGATGGCCTCCGCCTAGTTGCGACGACCTCCAACCTAGTCGCGTTGCCTCCTAGCTAAGAGCGATGGCCTCCAACCTACTACCTGTCCTCCTGGTCTCTTAGGTTTTTCACTCAGGCCGGCGTGCTGCAAACCGCAACCCAATCAGTACGCATTTCTATAAGTGTGTGCGTAACTTCTGGAGTCGCAAGATGCCTGTTGGCTTTTCCTCGTTCTATATCGTTTTATAGTTATACAGTACGCAGTATACGGTAATTTGTATGGGAACAACCCATGTGCTCTGCACGATGGTCCAACAAACCCTGCACACTGTACGCCGATATCACGGCTGATCACCGGGTCCACGAACATGCAGATTCTGGATCTTGCACTCATCGTCGTTCGATGGTGCGGGTGTGAACTTGGACCTCATTTTCGATGGTTTGGAACTTGGCGGGGTTCAGGACTACAATCTGTGGTTGGACACCTTTGCGCTCATTTATTTGGGAACCTTTTCACTTAGGTGTTTGGATCACGTCGAACGAACTCGTACCTTGAGTGTGTCTGTATCTCCTCCACGCACTGTTTCTGCCCAACACAGCATCCAGCTGCAAGGTCGCTTGCAATCGCACTATATAATCAATCAATTATGAAAAGAAAGCAACTAAAACTAGACTACTTGCATTGGTTTGAAAATGAATCGTCCCAAGATTAAGAAAAAACAAAAACAGCACACAAATACGCTTGCGCGCCTGTGAGGACTCGTGGCTTTGCAAGAACAATTTTGTCGAGGTGTTTGCCGAGCACCGTGGACTCCCGCGCCTCCGCTGTTCAAACTGCTGCGCAGCGATTGCTGCATTGCGCGCGCTTGGAAACTAGGCTGGGCACTATCGCTCCAAGATCTGCTTTGCCCCGCCCGACGCAAACCAGGCCGTGTTGCCCAACGATGACCTTGACAACTCAATGGGCGAAGCAGGTTGCTTAGGCAGGACAATGCATAACGCTGCGGACAATTTTATAACAGTGTAGTATCAGCGGGGAAAACTCGCCTCAACATCATCGTCCGGCCATACTCTCTCGCCGCTTGGCTTTGTTGCATTGAAAGATTGCAAGACATCACCGCCGCAAAGCATCACCTCACGGCTTGGGCGATCCGGTTGACACAAACCGGACGCCTGAGGGCCACACAAGCTGAACTTTGCCACATTGCGGGCGATTAGACCCAACAGCAACTGGAACCTCAAATACAACAAACCTAAAGACTAGACGACGGCTGGCCCGAGAGCGAGACAGGCGATTGTTCAGCACTGTCAAGTTATGAAACAATAACAATCGAGTTGTCCAAGAGCCATGACTTCTTTATACAATCTGTTATTGAGTAAGAAGTTGCGAAGAAATTAAACTCAAAATATAAAGAAAAGATATAGAAGGAGGGAAAGAGAGGGCGGACGTGAAGGAGTGACAGTGTGGATGTGCAGGTGCGAGATAGATGTACAGATGTGTGGAGATGGAGAGGTAGATCTGCAGATGTGAGCGTGTCAAGATGTAAATCTACGCAGGTGAGAGAAAGGACATGTAGAAAGAAAGAAAAAAAGAAAGAAAGAAAGAAAGAAAGAAAGAAAGAGAGGGCGGATGTGAAGGAGTGACAGTGTGGATGTGCAGGTGCGAGATAGATGTACAGATGTGTGGAGATGGAGAGGTAGATCTGCAGATGTGAGCATGTGACGATGTAAATCTACAGAGCACACTACAAGCACAGCCTACAAAAAGTAGGAGCAACATTTTTTGAAAAATGTGTGCACAAAAACCTGCATAGGTTCAAGGCAATAGGTTCAAAGAGTAACCCTAAAGCAACACCTGAATAGGTTCAAGCAGCCTGCATAGTGCGTTTTTTCCACAAGGGTTTTCTTCAATGCCTGAAAAAGGCACCTTGCAAAGCAGTTGTCCAACTTTGCCTTGAACCCTTTTCGGGCTCAAGCCAAAGGTTACACCTGCGTGACCATGTCACTTGCAAACACACACTTATGGATACGCGTACTGACTTGACAGCGGTGCCACACGCCAGCCTAAGTAAAACCGCCTAAGGTTCCAGGTGGTAAGTTTGAGGGCTCCAAAACCTATGAACACGAGGGCGAACGGCGGCGACAGGGTGACGACGGGTCGCGCAAATCCGTGGAGATCTAAAGGTCCAAACACTCCAAGGTGAGTCGCCGCTGCATTAGCCGCTTACTGCACAACAAAGAATGAGACAGCTTTTGCCATACTTAGGTTCTCAAAAGCAGGTACACCAGGTTGATCAGGCGAAAACTAAGGTGAGGGCAAATGTGCACGCGCGCGCACAAGAGACAAAAGAATGAAGGCATGACAGGAGGACGAGACGGGACAAAGGTGCGTGTGGTTGAAACGAAAGGGGAACCAAGTGCACAGGGACAACCGATGAAGCCCACCTCATTGTAAAGACCTGGGCGACCTGAAACCTGTGTTCAAATGTATGTAGAAGTGCACGTACACACTAAGGCCGGGACCAATGTGCGCGCAAACGAAGAAAAGGATGAGATGACCAGACATGAAGACAGGAGGACGTGAAAGAAAGGAGGAAACAAAAGTGTGTGACGGGGAAGGGATGAAAGGGGAACCAAATGGAGGGGACGAGAACCGATGAAACCAGACCTCATTAGAAGCACCTAGGGATCTGCCTCGTTTGAAAGTAAGTGGGACAGGGGAACCTCAAAGTACTTTGACCGCTGTGGTCACCTTGTGCCCTGCCAAAGTGGCTGGTTGCTTCGACCGCTGCGGTCACGTAAAGGCATGAGCCAGCTTGGAATTCCAAAGATGAGACAAACATCTGAGTTCTCTCGGCCTAGGCCACCTTCGCCCGCTGTGGGCACGTACGTTTCCAAAGCAAGGGAAACAACGACAGACACCCGTTCGACGGGTCCACAAAAGGCACTCTGCGGGCTCATCCCGACTCTCACTGGGAGAGACACACTTAGCGTACTGACTTGACAGCGGTGCCACACGCCAGCCTAAGTAAAACCGCCTAAGGTTCCAGGTGGTAAGTTTGAGGCCTCCAAAACCTATGAACACGAAGGCGAACGGCGGCGACAGGGCGACGACGGGTCGCGCAAATCCGTGGAGCTCCAAAGGTCCAAACGCTCCAAGGTGAGTCGCCGCTGCCTTAGCCGCTTACTGCACAACAAAGAATGAGACAGCTTTTGCCATACTTAGGTTCTCAGAAGCAGGTACACCAGGTTGATCAGATCTGGCTTCCCAGATGCAAGGTAGCTTTGTTAGGCGCAGTCCCTTGCATCTGCTGCACCCCCCTGCTTAAAATTACAATTGAAAAGAATCCCTGTGACTACAAGGGGCACACACACTCTCAAGTGCACACAAACACAAGCAGAGTCCACATGGCAACACACACAGCCACAATCATGGGGTGTGTGTAAGGTAGCAATACATTGTCACTAGAAGCATTTCACAGCAACCACAACATGCCCATGCACATGTCCACACTCCACAACCTCACACAACTTACCTTTGACTGCTTTCAAAAATCACCACACTTCACAACATGCATATGTCCACACTTACCTTTGGTTAGTCTCAAAGGTCGCCACACTTCGCAGATACGTATGTCCACACATGTCCACACGCTACAGCCACAGACAACTTATTAACTTTCATAGGCTACCACATTTCACAAACACTAGAAGTCTATAGGCATGTTGGCAGTTTGAATGGCCATGCTGCTGCTGCTGCTGGTGGCAATGCCTGTAACAGGCACACTGTCAATGCCTGTAACAGGCACATTGTAGATCCTGACCCTGGAAGGGGCCAGACATCACTGCCTGCGCAGGCATTAGGGTGGAAGAGAGGATGGTGCCTATTGCAGGCATTGACTCCAAAAAGCCTGTTGCAGACCAGACAAGTCCCAGAAGCAAGGTGCCTGTTGCAGGCATTGAGAAGGGTAAATTCTATGTAGTTTACTCAAATGAGAGGGGAAATGTCAAACTGGGAAGCTCAATGCCTCATTGAGCTTTTCAGGACAGAGCCAGAAATGGCTGTTTACATCTAACTATACCCATTTCCCTCCCTGTTGGTTTCCATCTGCCTTGGATGGGGTGGGTACATGGCCACCCGCATGTGTAAAGCCAGCAGTGGGTACCCTCCACTGAAGAGCCTGACCACAATGAGGTATGGGTGGGAGAAGGTGTGAACATTTGGTCATTGTTTCCAGCATTCACCACCCATACCCAATGCCTGACACAGGCATCTTTGAGGCTTCAGAGCCTCCTCGTGAAGAAGAAGAGGAAGAAGAGGTCAATGACTGGGAAGTCACCAAGGGCCTGAGGCACCTGGACAAAGGGTATGGTTTTTAGGTGGGGAGGGAGGAAAGGCTCAAGTACATCAAGGCAGCAAAGCCTGTCCCTCCCCAGCTGCAAGTCAGGCAGGTCCAGCTCTCAATTGCTGCCAAGAGGCAGATGTGGGAGCTGGTGCAGCAAGGGAAGGCTACAAAGGCTGCCTTGAAGGAATAGCTTGGGAAGGGAAAGGGAAAGACTGTGGGCAAGTCTAAATCAGAAAAGGTAAAGCATCCATCTGGCAATGCCTCAATGGCTGACCCAGCCAGCATCCCTTCGCAAGAGTTCTCTGGCCCAATGCCTGGAAAAGGCACCAGCGCAAAGCCTGCAAAGGCTAAAGAAGAAAACAAAGAACAAATGCCTGGAACATGCAAAGCAAGGAAAAGGAGCAAGACACCAAAACAAAAGACTGCGCAAAGGGTGCAGACAGGAAAGGAACTCCTGCCCAACCAAAAAGAGAAAGCCTGGGAGAGGCTCCAAACAGCTCACAGCAACCACCTTCTCAGCCACCAGAGCCTGAGCAAGAGGCTTCTGAAGGCAAAGAAGCTGAAGCTGCTGCTGCTGCTAGCACAGAGGCTGAAAAGCCTACTGAAGAAAAGCCTGAGGACCCAAAGCCTGAAGAAGGCTGAGAAGCCTGGCAGTGAAGAACTAAATCCTGATTGGGAAGCCCAGAAGGCAAATGCCTGTAAAGGGCACCGCCCAAAGCCTGTAAGAGGCTCTTAGGTGCAGCAAAAAGCTGCTTTTTTTGAAGCGGTAACCTCTGGGCTAAGTTGACCATGTTGGTAGTGCTTGTCAAGCCCCCTTCACAAACCATGAAAAAATAGAAAAAACTGAAAAATTATAGGACCGGATAACCCCACATGTGAACAACTTCGAAAGATTGAGGCTGCAGGGGTAAAGTGCGGAAGAGTGAGCATGGGGAAGAGACAGGCGAAACAGATATAAGGCGTGAGGGTCTCTGTGTGTACGTGAGGTGTGTGTGTGTGTGTGTTTGTATGTATGCGCTTGTTCGCCAGTGTGTATCAGTGGGTGGGTGGATGTATGCTGCTTGTTCTCATCTTCCAGCTCCCCAGATACTCCGCGTACTAAAGTTGTACTACAAAGTCGCCAGTTCTCAGCTTCCAGCTCCACAGATTGCTCCGCGTACTAAAGTTGTACTACAAAGTCGCCAGTTCTCATCTTCCAGCTTCGCAGATACTCCGCGTACTAAAGTTGTACTACAAAGTCGCCAGTTCTCATCTTCAAGCTCCGCAGATACTCCGCGTACTAAAGTTGCACTACAAAGTCGCCAGTTCTCATCTTCCAGCTCCGCAGCAGATACTCCGCGCACTAAAGTTGTACTACAAAGTCGCCAATTTTTTTTAGATTCCAGCTCCGCAGATACTCCGCGCACTAAAGTGGTACTACAAAGTCGCCAGATCTCAGCTTCCAGCTCCACAGATACTCCGCGCACTAAAGTTGTACTACAAAGTCGCCAGTTCTCAGCTTCCAGCTCCCCAGATTGCTCCGCGTACTAAAGTTGTACTACTCAGCTTCCAGCTCCACAGATTGCTGTACTACAAAGTCGCCAGTTCTCATCTTCCAGCTCCCCAGATACTCCGCGTACTAAAGTTGTACTACAAAGTCGCCAGTTCTCAGCTTCCAGCTCCCCAGATTGCACCGCGTACTAAAGTTGCGCTACAAAGTCGCCAGTCCTCAGCTTCCAGCTCGCCAGATACTCCGCGTACTAAAGTTGCACTACAAAGTCGCCAGTTCTCATCTTCCAGCTCCCCAGATACTCCGCGTACTAAAGTTGCACTACAAAGTCGCCAGTTCTCAGCTTCCAGCTCCACAGATTGCTCCGTGTACTAAAGTTGTACTACAAAGTCGCCAGTTCTC